AAAGATACATTAAAAAACATTTTCGAAATCAGAAATTGTGATTCGATTCAGCATAAATTATTCAGAACCAGTCGTGAAACTCGAAGATGTATCCCTTATAAAGAAATAGAAAATGCTCGAAAAAAACAGTAAATAAAATAAAGATAAGACATGCCGTTGAACCATGATTTTTTACCTTTCATTTGAAGGTGATTCACTCACAACAAAACGTCTCGAAGCTTCGAAACGACTCGCAAAACCCTGCCCGCTTGTGTCTCGCTTTAATAAAGAGAGAGAAGGAGAGAGAGAGAGAGAGAGAGATAGAGAGAGATGAGAGATGAGAGAGGAGAGAGAAGAGGAGAGAGAGAGAGAGAGAGAGAGAGAGAGTGAGTGGAGGCATCGGGGCAGGGAAAAAGGAGGAAGAGAGGAGAGAGCGATACGGAGAGAGAGAGAGAAGAGGAAGAGATGAGCAGACAGAGAAAGAAAGAGAGACAGAGAGAAACAGAGACAGACAGACAGACAGAGAGAGAGAAAGAGAGAGAAAGAAAGAGAGAGAGAGAGAGACAGACAGACAGACAGAGAAAGAAAGAAAGAGAGACAGAGGGAAACAGAGATAGACAGAATAGAGTCATCGAGAGCAAGAGGAAGGAAGAGAAAGAATGAAAGGCCAAAATTAAATAAATTTCATAATATTCTTCCCTCATCAATCAAAACGCCAATTCGAACGTCTTTGAGATAATACTAATAACATAGACAATGATTATGAAAATGGCGATGACGGCGGCGATGATCGAATTAATTATCCAGAGATCAAGAAGCAATTTATTGGATAGGTTTAATGAACTATGATAAATGAAAATTAAACCCTCCTAATCATCAGTTAATAATCACATTCATCTTCTTTGATAATCAATTTCCTTTCCTTTATCAGATAATTACGTTACCCGCGAATCGCTTTCTTTATACTTACCATCCCTCGGGTCTCTTCACCCACCGAAGCGTTACAGAAAAAAAAGTAATTAATATTTTCTATCAAGATTGAAAGACAATTTGCAAGATACTTTGCCAACAGGCCGATGACATTGGCAAGGATGTTTGGACAAAAGAGATCGAGAAGACGCCGTGATTTGAAAAGTAAAAGGATTTTTTTTTCGTTTTTTTTTGGCGGGAAATTTGGTTATTCAAAGGAGCGCTTCTATTGTTGTACTTTCCAACAATAACCTTTACAGAAATGAGAAAAAGAATCGAAAAAAAAAAATTGGGTCTCTTTGTTCCTGTCTGATATAAAGCGTGTTTGTGCGAAGAAATTCGTCCTAAAAAAAAAAGAAAAGAAAGAAAGACAGAAAAAAGACAGAAAATGGCGAAAGACTATACAAAAAAAAAAAAAAAGATACATTAAAAAACATTTTCGAAATCAGAAATTGTGATTCGATTCAGCATAAATTATTCAGAACCAGTCGTGAAACTCGAAGATGTATCCCTTATAAAGAAATAGAAAATGCTCGAAAAAAAACAGTAAATAAAATAAAGATAAGACATGCCGTTGAACCATGATTTTTTACCTTTCATTTGAAGGTGATTCACTCACAACAAAACGTCTCGAAGCTTCGAAACGACTCGCAAACCCTGCCCGCTTGTGTCTCGCTTTAATAAAGAGAGAGAAGGAGAGAGAGAGAGAGAGAGAGAGAGAGAGAGAGAGAGAGAGAGAGAGAGAGAGAGAGAGAGAGAGAGAGAGAGAGAGAGAGTGAGTGGAGGCATAGGAGGCAGGGAAAAAAGGAGGAAGAGAGAGAGAGAGAGAGAGAGAGAGAGAGAGAGAGAGAGAGAGAGAGAGAGAAAGAGAGAGAGAGAAAGAGAGAGAGAGAGAGAGAGAGAGAGAGAGAGAGAGAGAAAGAGGGGAAAGATGATTTGTCCAAAGTCAAAAGTTCACGTGCCTTACAGTTGATAAAAATTGATGGCATATATATTTTTGTTTAACGATAAAGTCGGAGCCAGATTGAGAATACGTGGAGGATGGAGTTCGAGTTTGCAATAATACACGATAATGACTATAATAATAATAATTTTACAAGAACGGTAATTGCAATATTATTTCGATTCGTTTTAAAAATGAAACGATACTTTCCTATTATCTTGTGGAACGTGAGCGATCCTCGTATTTTTTCATCTTATTACATGACGTTTTTTTTTTCTTACACGTTCAAGATTTTTGATTTCCCGCCATGTTTATATGAAGAATTTACATTGCTGCGAAGTAAAATAAGTTCATATTAAGTATCATGACTTGGTATTTGTGTGTGTGTGTGCATATATATATATATATATATATATATATATATATATATATATATATATATATATATATATATATATATACATACATATACATGCATATGCATATGTATGATTCATGTGTGATTCTCCAGTCACATAAAACACCAGATCCCGATCAAGTCAGTCCTTGTATTACATAGCTCTGAGAAAGGAACAAGTTTTTTTTATACTAATGGTCAGCTATGCTGTACATGTGGTACATTTATTATGTTTATGATGTAAACCGTCTGAAGGATTTATTTATTCAAAAGGAAGACACACACACACACGCACGCACACACACACACTCGTACACATACATACATACACACACTCATACACACACACACACACACACGCACACACGCACACACACATACACTCAAGTTTCTTTGAGTATCTGGAATACAGAAATCCGTTTTGTCTCGTTTCTTGTAAAGGGAATATTTCTCAACGTCCCAACCGCGACCTCGAGATTACCGACACTGCAACAGGCGATATGCAAGGAGTCTTCACCCATCCTTGCGCCGCAGGAGAAAAAAAGTAAAAAAAAAAAAATTATGAAGGAAAATGAAATAAAAGATAAAGATAAAGAAGCGTGCATGAGATGGGTATATTTCTTTTTGATAGATCCTATTTGCAGCTTGGTTGATTTGCAAAACCATGCGGATTTAAATATTCGTACCATATATTGAGAAAATACAAATTAACTCTTCATGTATGAACACACACACACATATGTGTGTGTGTGTGTGTAAGTATATGCACAGACAATATTCATATATATGTATATATATACATACATACACACATATATGAGTATATATAAAAGAATATATATACGTACATACAAAGAGAGGGGGGAGGAGAAATATATATATAGAGAGATAAATCGAGAGGAAAAAGAGAGAGCGAGAGGAAGAAATAGAGAGAGAGAAAGAAAGAGAGGGAGAGGGAGAGAAACAGAAAGGGAGAGAGAGTGCTTGTGCGTGTGTGCTTGTATGTGTGTGTGTGCGTGCGTGCGCGTATGCCTATGTTTGTATATGAATGTATGTACGTGTGCGTATGCGCACGCCCATAAGAATGAGGTATATCACATCCGCATTCATACACACATATCCCGGATATGTGTGTGAATCATTTATCATAGTAACTAACTGATTTATCAATGTAAGCACTCTCCTTTTCTCTGCTGCGTCACTGTAAGATAATAACGCAGTCCATCATCCTTATAGACCTAAAGCAGATTTTACCTGCTGGACGAGGGTTCGAATCCGGGGAAAACCCGAGACTGAGTGGGTTCGAATCCTTGTCAGGGAGGACAGTTATACGCCTGCGTTGTTATTGCCTCTTTCACCTTGTACTGTATACAGGTATACAGTAAGACACATCGTCCCGATTTGCCTTCTTTTTTATCTATTTTTTGTAGCTAGCGTCACAACCACAGCGTCAAATAAGCACGTCGCATTTACAACATAACAGGCACACCGTCACGTCCACAACATAACACGCACACCATCACATCCACAACATAACCACACTGTCACATCCACAACATAACGACCGAAACGCCACATCCACAACATAACGACTGCAACGTCACATCCACAACATAACCACACCGTCACATCTACAACATAACGATCGCACCGTCACATCCACAACATAACGACCACACCGTCACATCCACAACATAACGACCACACCGTCACATCCACAACATAGCGATCACACCGTCACATCCACAACATAACGACCACACCGTCACATCCACAACATAACTACACCGTCACATCCACAACATAACGACCACACCGTCACATCCACAACATAACGACCACATCGTCACATCCACAACATAACCACACTGTCACATCCACAACATAACGACCGCAACGTCACATCCACAACTTAACGACCGCAACATCACATCCACATTCTCCCTGTAATGTTACCCATACCACATCACCCGTAGTGCTGAATCACCCTCGTTTCAGGTCTGCTTTTATAATGCGTGTCCTTTCCTCTTGCGTGTCCTCCCGCTAGCCTGCCTGCTTGCCTGCTTGCTTGTCTACCCTTGGATGCCTCAAGGCTTGCCACGTCACGACCTGATTGTCTTATTTAGTGCCTGACATTTAAGTTCGGGGAGTCTGGGGTGCGAGAGGGAGCGCGCGGGGGTGTCTGGGCGAGAGAGAGAGGAAAAAAAAAAAGGAAAAAAAAAGGTTGCATGTACGCAACGACGCATGGAAGAGGATGTGTCTTTTTTGAGCGCGTAAGGTGCTGTGTGTTCTTCTTCGTGTGTTTTTTTTTTCTTTTTTTTTTGGGTGGGGGGTGGGGGGAGGAGATAAATAATATAAGAAAAAAAGAGGGGAGGTTCTCGTATTTGAACGAGAATTGGATCCTTTCAAGTATGTTATTGTGATTGTTTCATGCCTTGTTCTTCTCTGTCTCTCTTTCCAGAAGCATCCACTTCCCTGCGTGTGGCTGGGCGACGCCGACGGTCACCTCCCAGACGAAACTTCTTTGAGCCAGTTAGGCAGTTACTCGCCAAAGGTCGACCGCTGACGTCACTGCCTCCCCCACCTCCTCCTCCTCCTCCCCTATCTCCTTGGCTTCCTTATCCCCCTCCCCCTCTCCCCCCGCCCCCATTCTCCTCTTCCTCCTCCCCCTGGCAAACGTGTAGAAGAAGAGGAAAAAATAGGAGAGGGGAAAAAACGAGAAAACAGAAGCGTGATGGCGTTGACTCCAATGGCCGGGACCACGAGGCACTTTAGTGTGTGTTACCAGCTGGTCATGAGGAGGCGTCACGCGACCGTGCTCCTGGTGAGTCCAATTTTCTAGTTATGTTTTTTTTCCTTTGTGTTTAAGCGAGGTGAAAGTATAGGAGGCTAGGCGGAGGTGAGAGCATATTATCTCTGACTATAGTGATGCTTTACGTAAGTTCGCACGTGTTGTTCTGATGGGTACATTTTCGGCACCACCGATTTCCGCTTTGGCACGATACGCCACAGAAAACAGGGAGTGCCGAAGCCGTAGTCGTTCGGATGGTAATGGAAGAGTGTTCGCCTTGACGAAATAATGTCTCCATAATAATACCTCAGATTTAACACAGAAAGCTTATCCTATAATTTAATAGAAAATTTTATAGCTTTCTTCTGAACAGAATGCGTTTTGTTTAGTGAGAATATTTAAAGAATATTTAAAGAAGTCCCATGCTTTTGAAAATAATACTGAGTGTAATTGTATTTGATTGTCCGAGAGAGATAAGATGAAGTGCAACCTTTCTCTGTTGCACTGTGATTACCATAAATCATTGCATAACCATCACGTTTCGAATGATGAATTATGACTCCTGTCTGCACGAAATATAGGCCGTTCCTTATGGGGGGAATAATAAATCTTAAAAAAAAAAACTGTGTAAATCGTTGTTCCTTAATCTACTTTTCTGTCTGTGATGTGAGCTACGATATACATTATCAGGCTGAACAGTAATAATCATAATGATGATTATGATGAAACTTTCATTTAATTTAGTGTAGATAGTATGCATCTACTTTGCAAAAAATCCGTAAATGGTCATTATAATATAGTTTGCAACAATAGATTATCAGTGAATTGTTAATGTGTGTGTGTGTGTGTGTGTGTGTGTTTGTGTGTGTGTGTGTGTAAGTGTGTAAGTGTGTTTGTTTGTGTGTGTGTGTGTTTGTGTGTGTGTGTGTGTGTGTGTGTATGTGTGTGTAAGAGAGAGAGTGAGAAAAAGAGAGAGTGAGAAAAAGAGAGAGAGAGAGAGAGAGAGAGAGAGAGAGAGAGAGAGAGAGAGAGAGAGAGAGAGAGAGAGAGAGAGAGAGAGAGAAAGAAAGAGAGAGAGTGAGAGAGATGAAGAAGGATACTTTACTGATCTGTACTCGTAATTCTCCCGTCTTCCTATGCTTCCCTTCGCTTTACTGAATAAACCAGAACCGGTTAAAAAATATCTAATGCAATACGCTATGAGTGTCTCACCGTCCGCCTCGTATTCCGCAAACAACCTGACTTCGAACTCCTCAGAAATAGCGGATCTGATGTGAATTCTTTCAATTAACGACCTTCTCCTTAATCAAACTATTCACCAGGACTTTTCATCACCAGCTCTGTCCTTGCAAATACAGCGCATCAAAGAATATAAAAAACCTCACCACATTTTCTCGTTCCCTGTAAAAATGGCGCTTGAAGTAAGACCAACAGTCTCCTCACGAACACAGCCTTCTGCCGCCAAACCACTGCTTGATAAAACGGGTTCTTAAATAATTGGATTGGGAGGGTATTACCCCCTTCCTCCTCCTCCTTCTCCTTCTCTTTCTCTTCTTCTTCTTCTTCTTCTTCTTCTTCTTCTTCTTCTTCTTCTTCTTCTTCTTCTTCTTCTTCTCCTCCTCCTCCTCCTCCTCCTCCTCCTCATAAGTACTTCTTCTTCCTCCTCTTAATCCCTTTTCTCCTCCTACTATTCCTCCTGCTCCTCCTTTTCTTCTTCTCCCTCTTCCTCCTCCTCCTCCTCCTGCCCTCTTCCGTTTCTTCCTCCACCACTTCTTCCTTACATTTTTCCTACTCCTCCTTCTCTTCCTCTTCCTCCTCCTCTTCTTCTTCTTCTTCTTCCTCCTCCTCCTCCTCCTCCTCCTCCTCTCCCCCTTCCTTCTCCACTTCCTCCTCCTCCTCCTCCTCTTCCCCTTCCTTCTCCACTTCCTCCTCCTCCTCCTCCTCTTAACCCTCCTCCTCCACTTCTTCCTCCTCACAATTACCATTCAGTGCCACACAAGAGCTTTTATTAACTAATTAATTTATCTTATCTTATTTCATTTTTGATAGTGGTAACAGGAAAGCACTTCCTTAGGAGGATAATTACCGCCTAGGAGAATTTCTGACGCAGAGGAAATGCCAAACCATTTTCTATAACCTTCAACGAAGATGGAAAGATGTCGGAAATACTTGTCTATTCAATATCTTTATGTATGGCAGATATGGCATTACAAGAGGTGCGTGATGAACATAGGTTAACCTTAAGCGAAAATACCTCCTTTTTATTTTATTCTGCTTTTCTTTACAACCTTAAAATTATATATTTTATGGAGTATGAGAAAGTTGTTACATGTGTTACTTCCACACTGTTAACAATATATTATGCGTTATGACAGATGTTGAAAGCAGAACTAAACTGGTTTGTACCGACCAGTGGCTACTCAATAACGTTTCCATATTGGGAGTTAGGAAAACGCACTTACGGTAGACGGCTTGTTAGCTCTGAAATAGCTGTCAACACCTGAGTCTTCAGGTAGAATAGGGTTGTTAACTTTGAAAGAGTAAGATTGTGCCATGCAGCTGCCCCCCCCCCCAAAAAAAAAAAAAGAAGAGAGAAGAAGAAAACATGTATCCAAAATAACTTATATTCACTGTCAAAAAAAAAAAAAAAAAAAAAAAAAAAAAAAAAAAAAAAAAAAATATATATATATATATATATATATATATATATATATATATATATATATATTATTTATATATATCAGTCATTAATTTCTTTTCAGTCTTACAAGTACATTTGAAAGGCAACAAATTATGTACTATTACTCCAAACCAGACCAATATTAGATGACAAAGGTGCAAATACCTCATACGCTTGGTTAAAATAGTTTTTTCACACTGTTGGTAGTTTATCTTATTTGAAACATGTTTTACCACAGTAGTCTTTTGTTTGTCTGTTTACTATTGAAGTGACTCTTTATCCATTAATAATCGGTATAATCAAGTTTCCTCTGTTTCTTTGTTTCCTTTTGAATCCTTTTATCAAAACAATGGAATATCTCAAAGCGCAAAGATATCATGGTTGTCTGAGTGTATATTATAACGACTAATAATTCTTAGTTATCCACGCCATTCGTCATGTCACAGCAGCGATAAATATTACTTTCTCAAGCGCTAAGTCATTTCAGCGAAGTGATAAAGATTATATTTTACTCAAGTTCCATTGCAATGACATAACTGGTGAAAGGTTCAAGTCTGTCTTGTCTATTATCAAAGACGAAAGGAGTGATGAATAACGCAAATTATCACATGTACTCAAAACTGTAACTCGTATTTACCCCCCCCCCCTCCTCCTACTCACTCCCCCGCGAAAATTGACCGAAACCTCAGAGCGCTCCGCCATATTTGAACACCGAATTGCGTCACCAGACTGGAGTTAATGGTACATCTTTTTAGAATGTTCTTCGATTAAATTATCGATTTCCCAACACGTGTTTATTTATTCACCAAACTGTGTTGTCTTTTAGTTATAAACAAACGAAAGAAATGCATATATATATCTATTAATATCTAAAAAAAAAAAAAAAAAAAACATGATTGATATGACATATGAGTTTATTATGAAGTGTCAATATGGCTTTCATTTCTGACACAGTTCGTAGCGAGATTGCCGCCAGATTACGAGAAGAATGCAGTAACGGCGGTCGACTCTCGCTTCGCTTCATAATCCTTCTAAGTCAAACTGCAAAGATAACTTACTCACTGGCCCGATTCCTGTGCGAGGGCGTGTGGATAGAAAGTAAAACGATTAAAGAGAAGAAGAAAGAAGAGAGAGGGGAGAAGAAGATGATGATGAAGATGAAGATGAAGTGGATGAGAGAGGGAGAGAGGTTAGAGGGGGGGAGAGAGAGAGAAAGACGGACGGATGGACGGGCAGACATACAGACAGACAAACAGATACATATGAGACAAGAGAGAGAAAAAACATACATAAACAAAAGCGGAAATGGATAATATATAGATAAATAGATAAACAATACACTTGGCATTAGATTTCACGATTCTAAAGACGGCTTTTACGGATAATTAGCATGTGTTAATGACGTCATTGTCTGTTCGTTGTTCTTGTAATATCTTGTAATTGCAATAATGTTTCTATCCTATTTTTTGTTTTGCAACATATGTATTGCAACAGTAATAGTCATATCGTTTTCATAATTCATATCAACGTTACTTCCAGTTAGGGGATTTACTTTTATTTACGGTGATTTCTTTATCTCGTATTTTATTTCATTTAGCAATAGCATTCTCACCCCCCCCTCTCTCTCTGTCTCTCTTTCTCTCTCTCTCTCTCTCTCTCACACACACACACACACACACACACACACACACACAAACACACACACACACACACACTCACACTCACACACTCACTCAGTCATACACACACACACACACAAACACGCACACACCGAAATGCCACAGCCCGGCAAGAGCCCCCCCCCCCTCCCCCACCACCTTCTCACCCTCCCCATAAACTCCCCGCTAACTGCCTTGACAAAATACCTTAGTCAGTGATTCCATAAAGAAGTCACACTGAACTGGAAGGAAATACGGGCGAGGACGTGGATTTTCTTGATTTTCTTGTCGCGTGGGCGTGGGAAATTTTTCTTAGGTGCTGATCGTATTTCCGTTCTTGCTTAAGATCCAGTGCCGATTGACTGGTAGGGTTTCGGGTTGGGTACTGGGGCTTGGTACTTCTGTATGAGTGTGTGTATGTACACACACACACACACATACACACATATAACTACACTTTGTTCTATGTTTTTTTTTTTTTTTTTTTTTTTTTTTTTTTTTGGGGGGGGGGGTATTTTTGTGATTTATGTGAATTTCCAGTTGGTTATAATTCGCAATGGGATTAGAAATTTAGGGGTATGATTTACTCGTATCACTTAAATGTGTATCTGTTTCTTAGTGTCTGTCTTCTCTCTCTCTCTCTCTCTCTCTCTCTCTCTCTCTCTCTATATATATATATATATATATATATATAT